TTCGTTTGGTATACGAAACTATCCGCTTCGATATCTCCAATTTTCCATCATGGGGGTTTTAAGTCTTGATGTCGTGCTAATAGGTTACAGATTCCGAGAGAAATATGACTACGACAGATTTTCGCAAAAAACATCGCCCTCTTATTTCTTTTCTTTTAGGTTTTTGAGTCCAGATTTCTCCTAAATAAATCTCGATTTCCCGTCAATACATCAGAGATTCTGCGAAAAAACAAAATGCGAGAACTTTTCGTCATAACGATTACAAAGATTATTCACTTGAGAATGATCTCAAAATATCGCGCATTTGGATAATTTGATACCACTTAAAAGTGCGCAAATTTAACTTATGTCTTAAATCGTTCGGATCGTTAAGTCCTTAATCGTGGAAATCAGTACGATTGAATGACCGCGATCATTGCAACAACGAAAATTGTGTCATTTTGATGGTACAGTCCTAAACTACCACCTAGCTAACCGACTGCCCAGGGTGACTAGCTATTTTAACGTGTTCTTGTCCTACAAGGAAGTTAATCGTCACCACATAGAGTACGAAGAGACAGACAAAAAGCTTAAGTTTGTTTTTAAGGTCCACTCTTCTTTTACCAAGACTACATCCAACCAGGTAATAAGATGTTAGTGGAAATCACTGTCTTTTTCGGATGCATTGACTCTTGTCGAACTGCTGGGTACTTATAAGTAATGAAATAAATTCTTCTATACTGTTTCGTAAATAGAATGTACTGCTTCATTAATAAAATGAAAAGGGAAATAATGCACTCTTAACAACACAGGAGATCCAACTCGTATGAGGATATAGTGATCTTACGGTAATAGAATCGAAAAAAGTTTATAGTATATTTTATTACAAACGATATAAATGATTTGTATGCAAAAATTAATTCTTTAACCGCTTTTTTACAATGTAATTAACAGAATGATAAAAAAAATCAATCAATAAACATCATTAAAAAATTAACTTTAGTATTTTATATAAATTTTTTTCAATCTTTCAATCAATATTTAAATTAAAAAAATATTATACAATCATTAAGCCTGTTAAAATGCTTGTTTCATAATAATAATAGTTTATTTAAAAAAAAACAAAAAAAATGTTATTGTTAATGTTAACTCAAACCTGGGCCATTATTAATTGTTTACAACTATTTTGCAATATTTTTGTTATTTACTTCTTTGATTGGGTAGGAAGTTAAATTAAAAACAACATAAATATGTTAATCAGTTGCAGATATTTTTCTATATATTATTATAGATTTTTTTTATATAAAATAATAATAATAAATACGTATTAACAATCATTGAACCAAACATTAAACAATTACAATTTGAATGTTAATACTCATTAAAAAAAGAGGTTATATTTTATTTAAAATGCTACAAATTCAATTCAATTATTTTATATCTTTTTCGAAATCAAGGCACAATGTCAGTCACAATAGTTATTTAAGTTGATATATAATTGTTCATTTGACACTAGGTTATAGTTTTATTGTAATTATAACCTTTACGCAAAAGTTAAGTTATAATAAGAACAAAATAAAATTTAATTCAATTATAGACAAATTTAAAAGAAAAAAAATTTTAGAAAATTTTCAGTGATTACTTTCATTTCTAGCAATAAATAGGAAAAAATTATAAAAAAATCCATTCACTTTATTAGTTTCTTTTTCAAACCACAACATAAACTGTTTAAGTTTTTTAACCAATTTTTTTCTTTGGTTATTGCTTACAAAAATTCATAGTTAATTTAACCAAACAAACAAAAATTTTATATACTTTTTTTGTTTAAAGGGGGGTGGATTTCACAAACTATTGATTGCATTGCTTCATTAAAGTAAGTAAACAGTTATTAATCAAACAGGGACCACCTACCACAAATAATCAAAATAATCTTTAGTACTTTAGCGTAAACAAAATCCTCGATTAAAGAATAATACAAATTCAAAGGAAAACTATAGAAAGAAGAAAGAAAGTATAACATACAATTAGGAGAGTTGGTGGGGAAAGTAGAAAGTTTTAAAGAAAAAGTTTGTTATTACAAAAAGTAAATTATAAGAGAAACAAATATTAAAGAAAATGAAAAAGTTTTTTTTTTTTTTGAAAAGCATAATTTCCTTAGAAAATTGTATAAAAAAGTATTAAAAGGGATATTGAATCAATAAACTTTATACATTTAAGTTTATAAAGGTTTAAAATTGTGTGTTTTTTTAGAATTCTAAAATAGTTATTAAATTTCTTAAATTTAACTTATAGTCTATAAATAAGTATATTTCTTAATTAAAGTAATATTTTAGTTTTATTGCAGTGTTTTTATCTTAATAAACTTTAGCATACCTTGAAGCTTTTACAGTTTAAACAAAATTAAGCATACCTTTAGGTGCTTTAAAGTATATTTGTTACTTTATAACTCAACTTATTTAACTAAACCATACTAGATGTTTTTTGAATAAAGATCTAAAATTTCGAAATATCTGGTCCTATTGGAGGCAAAAGTTTACATGGGAGTAGTCAAGGATTATTTGAGTTTTTAAAATTTAATATAAATCCTTCAGTTTCCCCATAGTGCGATGCGTTACATACATTTTGGAAATTTTGGACTTAGAAGAACAAAATTATATATAAATGCAGGGGCTTTATTGGAATCTAAGGCAACCTATGCAAGTCCAGAAGGTTAAAATGTTCTACAAATAATCTTTATTAATAAATTATGTTTGATATTTAACATGGTTAATATCGGTCTACGTTTCGAGCTAGTCTTAATACAACTGGCTCCCGAAATTCAGCTTTGTTTGATAATTAAAACGGTTAATATAGGTCTACGATTCGACCTGGGCCCCGGAATTCAGTTTAAACTGTCTGTAATATTTCGACCAATCGTAAGTTAGGTTTTAATTATAATACAAAGTATTACAAAATATTGAGCCACATTTGAGCCTAGACCCCATTTAAGGTTACAGAAATCATATTGCAAAATATGACGAAAATCGGACTACAGTTGACCTCAGCCCCCATATAAATTTATTGAAATTTTTCTATAAAAAAGAAAAATTATTGATAATTTTCTATAAAAAAGAAAATTTGTTGAAATTTTCTATAAAAAGAAAATTCGTTGAAAATTTTCTATGAAAAGAAGATTTTTTGAAAATTTTCTATAAAAAAGAAAATTTATTGAAAATTTTCTATAAAAATGAAAATTTATTGAAAATTTTCTATAAAAAGAAAATTTGTTGAAAGTTTTCTATTCATCGAAAATTTTCTATAAAAGAAAATTCATCGAAAATTTTCTATAAAAAGAAAATTCATCGAAAATTTTCTATAAAAAGAAAATTCATCGAAAATTTTCTATAAAAAGAAAATTTATCGAAAATTTTCTATAAAAAGAAAATTTATCGAAAATTTTCTATAAAAAGAAAATTTATCGAAAATTTTCTATAAAAAGAAATTTATCGAAAATTTTCTATAAAAAGAAAATTTATCGAAAATTTTCTATAAAAAGAAAATTTATCGAAAATTATCTATAAAAGAAAATTTATCGAAAATTATCTATAAAAAGAAAATTTATCGAAAATTATCTATAAAAAGAAAATTTATCGAAAATTTTCTATAAAAGAAAATTTATCGAAAATTATCTATAAAAAGAAAATTTATCGGAAATTTTCTATAAAAAGAAAATTTATCGGAAATTTTCTATAAAAAGAAAATTTATAGAAAATTTTCTATAAAAAGAAAATGTACCGAAAATTTTCTATAAAATGAAAATGTATCGAAAATTTTCTCTAAAAAGAAAATGTATTGAAAATTTTCTATAAAAAGAAAATTTATCGAAAATTTTTTATATAAAGAAAATTTATTGAAAATTTTCAATAAAAAGAAAATTTATGAAAATTTTTCTATAAAAAGAAAATTTATTGAAATTTTTCTATAAAAAAAAGGAAAATTTATGGAAATTGTTCTATAAAAGAAAATTTATTGAAATTTATCAATAAGAAGATTTCAATAAAAGATTTTCAATAAAATTTTATCAAAAATTTTTTACAAAAAGAAAATTTTATTAAAAATATTCTATAAAAAGATACATTTTTAAAAAATTTTCTATAAAAAGTAAATGTTATCAAAAATTTTCGAAAAATTTTTAAAGAAAAATTTTTAATAAATTTTCTTTTTATAGAAAATTTTCAGTAAATTTTCATTTTATAGAAAATTTTCAGTAAATTTTCATTTTATAGAAAATTACGAAACTCACAATCGGTAACAACATACAACATCTTATGAATTTAATTCAAAATTAAGTCTTTCTTATATATAAAACTATTTTAATATTACTTAAATACATATTTATTACAAAAATATTTTATAAACATTAAATTTTGTTAATAAAATTTTATGTTTTTTATGGAAATCAGTTTTAAAACAATACTTTTCTATAGCATGAAACTAATAAATGTAAATATTTCATTAACAAAAATCACAATTATACACGATATTATAATAAAACAAAACCAAAAAATCTTGTTGAAATAATTATAAAAAAATAAAATTTTATATTAAAAGCTTTTAAATGTATGGTTTTTAAAAACATACTTTTATAACAAATAGCATAAAATAATTAAAACAATTTAGCACAGAGAAAAATATGCAAACAACACTTACCTTCAGGCCATTGTACACAAACTGTTGTTGTGAAATGTATAACAAGTTGAGTTGATTTGAATTTTGAATTCATGAATGATGAGTTTACAATAAAAATTAGGCGTTGACAGGCATCGATATCAGGCGTATATATTAAAGCACGATAGTAGTAGATCATAAAAAAATAAAGGAAAAAATATATATTTTTTGTTAGAATTATGTAATAGCAATAATTATTAAAGTTAAATTATAAATATTTTTTGGACACATATGTATACAAATGTGTGGAACTAAGGCCAGTTGTCGAAACAGCTTAAAACGGATTTTGAATACATACATAACACGCTTTAAACTGCTTCCCAATAAAGTCTTAGTGTTAGATATTTTAAAATTATTATTTTTTTGTTGTTTGATTTTGTTTTATAAGGTTTAATATTATGTTTTTTGTAAATTGACAATCATGCTGTGTTTAACATTATATCATGCGATTTCAAGTTACACAAGACATTTTAGAATAATTTTATTTGATTAATTTGTTTTTTTTTAAAATTGTTGTTTAAATTTTTTAAGATACTAAGTATTTCTCAAAAAGTAGACATTGATGTAGGCTATAGAAAAAAAAAAAAAAAACAAAATTGCCCCAAATAGTCCGAAATTTCGAACGAAATTATATTTTGGTCTCAATCTTAACAATTTCACACAAAATTCGTGATATAGAAACTGTTTCCCAGAACTGCTCCAGAAAATTTTCTATTAAAAAAAAGTTTCAGGAACAATCTGTATAAAAAGAAAGTTTCTATAAAAAGTAAATTTATCGACAATTTTTTATGATAAAGAGAATGTATCCAAAACTTTTTATTAAAAAGAAAATTTATCGAATTTTTTTTTTTATTTAAAAGAAAATTTTCTATAAGAAAATTTATCGAAATTTTTCTATAATAAGAAAATTTATCGAAATTTTTCTATAATAAGAAAATTTATCGAAATTTTTCTATAAAAAGAAAATTTATCGAAATTTTTCTATAATAAGAAAATTTATCGAAATTTTCTATAATAAGAAAATTTATCGAAATTTTTCTATAATAAGAAAATTTATCGAAATTTTTCTATAATAAGAAAATTTATCGAAATTTTTCTATAATAAGAAAATTTATCGAAATTTTTCTATAATAAGAAAATTTATCGAAAATTTTCTATAATAAGAAAATTTATCGAAAATTTTCTATAATAAGAAAATTTATCGAAAATTTTCTATAATAAGAAAATTTATCGAAAATTTTCTATAATAAGAAAATTTATCGAAAATTTTCTATAATAAGAAAATTTATCGAAAATTTTCTATAATAAGAAAATTTATCGACAATTTTCTATAATAAGAAAATTTATCGACAGTTTTCTATAATAAGAAAATTTATCGACAATTTTCTATAATAAGAAAATTTATCGAAAATTTTCTATAATAAGAAAATTTATCGAAAATTTTCTATAATAAGAAAATTTATCGAAAATTTTCTATATTAAGAAAATTTATCGAAAATTTTCTATAATAAGAAAATTTATCGAAAATTTTCTATAATAAGAAAATTTATCGAAAATTTTCTATAATAAGAAAATTTATCGAAAATTTTCTATAATAAGAAAATTTATTGAAAATTTTCTATAATAAGAAAATTTATTGAAAATTTTCTATAAGAAGAAAATTTATTGAAAATTTTCTATAAGAAGAAAATTTATTGAAAATTTTCTATAAGAAGAAAATTTATTGAAAATTTTCTATAAAAAGAAAATCTATTGAAAATTTTCTATAAAAAGAAAATGTATTGAAAATTTTCTATAAAAAGAAAATCTATTGAAAATTTTCTATAAAAAAGAAATCTATTGAAAATTTTCTATATAAAGAAAATTTATCGAAAATTTTCTATAAAAAGAAAATTTATCGAAAAAAAATATATAAAAAGAAAATTTATTGAAAAAAAAATATATAAAAAGAAAATTTATTGAAAAAAAATATATAAAAAGAAAATTTATTGAAAAAAAATATATAAAAAGAAAATTTATTGAAAATTTTCTATAAAAAGAAAATTTATTGAAAATTTTCTATAAAAAGAAAATTTATTGAAAATTTTCTATAAAAAGAAAATTTATTGAAAATTTTCTATAAAAAGAAAATTTATTGAAAATTTTCTATAAAAAGAAAATTTATTGAAAATTTCTATAAAAAGAAAATTTATTGAAAATTTTCTATAAAAAGAAAATTTATTGAAAATTTTCTATAAAAAGAAAATTTATTGAAAATTTTCTATAAAAAGAAAATTTCCCTTCATCCTGTAGAAGTTTATCAGCCCGGTTTGCGTTAAGACCACTACATAATAATCATAAACAAGGTATTATAACCACCGTAATAATGGAGAATATTTAAATCAGATTAAAGCGATGACACAATAAGTAATATACTACAACTACATAATACGATATCATAACTTTATAATCAGTAGTGGGTAATTTTGCAAATCCTTCGAAAGAAGTAAAAAGTAATTTTGATGTCCAGTTTCACTATGCTAAATAACACATAAGAAATTTGTTTCGTAAACAATTATAAAACTAAAATTACCTATGTATGTGTGTTGCCCATTACTGCACTTTGTCTTCTCCTTAATCTCCTATTGAACTTTAGTCATTTATACACATTTCTCCTATAAAAATATTTACTTTATCGTCTAAAGTTGAATAACTTACACCGAATGTTTATTTAGTAAGAAAAGTATTGATGATTCCTCCATAAAAATTAAGTAAATAAGAATATTTATAGAATAAGAATATAAATGGCAATATTTTTTTTTTGCAATAAAAATCGATTGGCTCTACTTGACTGGAAAACAAAAATAAAGTATTTAACCAGGGATATATAAACATAAACAGTACACATGTGTGGCCTCTAAATGCAATAATTTTTACTAAAATGTGAATTTATTACTTAAAATTATTGTTCTTTTTTATACGACAGCACTTTTCTAAAGTTATAGGTAAAAGAAGAAGATGAAGAAGAACAACAAAAAAGTACTTAACTTAAAACTTAAACTGAATAAACTACTGTCATTTATCTCTGAAATGAAGCTAAATACAAAGTAGAGAATGTAAAGTAAAAACAACTGTTGGGGTATTAAATACACAAAAAAAGGTGCACATCCTGCATTAGACATTAAAAAAAAGATGTAAAAGACACATAGATTTTATTTAGTTAAACAGTAGATACTTGATAAAAGGTACACTTTTTATAACATATCATTTTTTCCTTTTTTACTTAACTATAGCTTTAGAAATGGTAATAGTTTTTCTTTACTTAAACTATTTAGTTTTGTTTTATTTAATTCTTATTATCGAGAGTCTACTGTACTTCCTTATATATTTAAATCTGTATGCTCTTACCGCTTTTAAAGTGTAGGTGGGTATCTATGTAGTCACTACCATTATTGCACATAAACTTAGACATGTGTGTTCAAGTACTTTTAAGAGATTTGAAAAAAGAAGTAGTATTTATTTAAGAGGCTTTTCAATATATGTACCTAACTCAAGTAAATATATGTATGTAGATTAGAGTGCTCCAAAAAAAACGAAGTTGCGAATTTTGCCCGTCCCCCCCTCTAGAATTGTTCTATGGGTTGTAAAACTATGTCATACAAAAAATTAGGCTGATAGGATAACGTTAACAGGTGCCGCAACGGCACTAAAGTTTCCAAGTGCATTTACAAGGGGAAAAAATCGATTTTTTCAGTTTTTGCTAAAATTTTGCCACTTAATAATAAACTTTACAATGTATTGTGATGGAATCGCAATGTACACATAATAAGCTTTTCGGAAAGATATAAAACACAAAAATTGGTTGAAAATTTTTAAAGTTATTGCAAATTCCCCAGGCCATTAACGTGTCTCACAGCACATGAATTCGAAATGTGACAAAAAAATTAAAATTTTTTAGGACATATTGTAAAAAAAACCATTTTGTTACTTAAAATATACTAAAAATTACTTGAATACTAGCTTTTGTCCTTATACGATAACGCAAACTTGTTCTCAGCTATGGTCAAAAAAGTTTGATTTTTTCAACGGCCGTTTCAAATCTCCAATTTCAGTTTTTTTGAAACTTTGTTAAACAAATTTTAAAATTTTTAGAAGATCTCATAGGAATTTATGGACAATAGATAAGGGAATAAAACGGTAAAAAATTAGATCAATAATTCTTACAGTTTAGCTGTACCTGCGATTTGAACTCGGCGGATTTCGGGAAAATCGCATTTTTTTGTAATATATTAGAGAATACGTATTAATTTTTTACTGTTGTACATTTTAAACAAAGTATTTTCAGAGTATTATAGACCAGATAATATAAAATATATATTCCAAGTTTTATTTAATTCGGACATTCTTAACCCATAAAATGTGGAGTTCAAAGGTCAAATTTTGCTATATTTGGGAATTCTCAGTGTACCATATCGAAATATTATGTATTTGTCGGTCATATTTAATAAAGATGACTTGAATTTTTAGTATAAAGTCTTATGTTTAAAATAGCAGCGAAAAAAAGTAAAATTAACCCTTTAAAACACATGGGAAAAATTTAACCCCGAAGATCAAAAAATCGTAAAAACACTATCCATTTGAATAATGCTCTATATAATTAGAGGAATAACATAAATAAAACAAAAAAATATATATTAGGTATAAAAACTTATGAATTAACCCTTTTTGAACCTATAAAGTTTGTATTTTTAGACATATTATGTCGAAAATGGTCCGAAAAAATGGACTACATAAATTATCAGTTTTAAAAACAAAATTTTTCTTTTAAAAATGTACACCTATAGTTTACTCCATAGTCGAAAAGGGTTAAAGTATAATTTTTATACTTAATATATACGTTTTTGTTATATTTCTGCTATTTCTCTAATTATAAAGAGCTTTATTCAAATGGATAGTGCTTTTTCAAATTTTTGAACTTTGGTGTTAAATTGTTCCCAAGTGCCTTAAAGTGTTAATGTACCTTT